GGAATGAGTTTCACCTTGATAAGAAAACTGTTACAACACGAAGACCTGAGACAATTGCTGAAGCAAGCTCAAGAAAATGGACAAAAAACTTTGATTACTGTCCATCATGATGTGGAATGGGTCAAGAAAGACAGAGAACATCGATGGTGGAACACACTTTTTGGATGGTCACCAATGGCTATGAAACTCTAAACAGAATGCTCCATCCTGTTGTTTTATTGATACTAACCCTTCTGCTTTTTAACCTGGTGATCACAATATATGTAAAAATCTGCAGTATGATGAAGCAATTATCCTACTTGCTGTCTCTATTTAACATGCACACATTTGACATTCCCAATATATATGAACGTGATATTTCATGTAACATTAACACCTAAATGCCATCTGTGAAACTTGAGTGACTATAGTCATGGGGTGGATTATGTGGGAAAATCACTTGGGGAGAGGAGGGGAAATTGGAAAAACTTGGGGTCTAACAGAAGTTGTAGTATTATAGAAACCTTTTTAGGGTAAAATACAGTTGCCACTTCCAGGATGCTGGCATGCATGGAATCTACTCCACCACAGTTCCCTGGGCAAAACAACTTGCTCTCTTAGAGGAACAATGGAGGGTGGAGCGGAGTGAAGACACCATGGCCAGGCCCTGTTGTACTTCCCTGCAGGATTTGGAATTTGGTGGTGCCACGCAGCTGATGAGCTGCACAGCAGCTGTCAAATGGGAAATGTAAGAGATGACCATTGCTGAGCCAGCAACTGTGGTGAAATCACTTCCCTTAGGTGAACCTTACTTATTATAATCTCATTATAATACTAACGCACACCTCCATCCCAAAGTTACCCTCCTTCAGTGTACGACCACCCCTCACTGAGCATGTGCTTTGTACTTTTTATCAGCTATATCTTTAAATAAGAAGCGAGAGAATTTTACACCTATCGGTAAGAATGTATGGCTGGAGTCACACAGACTCCACCTGAGAGGAAAGAACAGTATAAAAGTGAATGAGAGAGCGGGAGAGATACAGAAGACTCCATCCTAACTTCTGGGTTCAGTCAATAGGCTGACCCTGTCTTCTTCCCCATAGGAGCACCTATTGGATAAGAACTTGATCTTATGTGCACCCCATAACTAACTCACAGCAACTGTTACTAGTGATTATAGTTGGGTTGTTTATAGCTTCAACTTTTTTTGCAGACAGTTCCTATCACAGGAAATCAGAAACCTTAATTTGTCAGGATTTGATTTTAATAGAGTGTTATTCCATAAACTGTCAGCGTTGGTCCTTCGTGGGCACCAGCAGGTGCCGGCAGCAGGTGACACATTCGAGTAAAGTGGGCAGAGCCGCTGAGGGGTCACCCTGATGCTGTTGGCACGTTTCCCTAAACAAATCAGTTGAATCTTCCTCCTATCCAGCAGCAGAACAGTAAAGGGTCCCTCTAACGAGACGCTGACAGACTGGTCTGGCACAAGGGTGTCGGCTTTCCTGGGGCTCCGATGGACAGATCAAGCACTTGGGGCTGAAAAAATCTTCCCCTTCCACATAACGCCCTCTTTGTCCCCTCTCCTTCTTCTTGTCTTTTTCCCCGTGCGACCCCCAGCCTGGAGCTTGGGCGCCGTAATGCGGGAGATGCAGAAAGGAGGAGTCTCATGTGATGCCACTGAGAGACGGAGGGAGAAGGAGAAAACATCGGGGGGTCGAGAACGTGCCCTCACCTCCCCTGTCCCGTGCTTCGAGGTCTTCCCCTACGCTGACCCAGTGCAACACCCACAGGCTTTGCCCTGCGCCTCCTCGTCGCAGCTCGGAGCCGCTTCCCCTGCTCTGCTTCATTGCAGAACGGAACCGCTTCCCATCGCTTCCTCCTTTCAGCACAGGACAACTTCCCCCGGGGTCCAGGACTTGCTTCTGCCTGTGCTCCACCACCGCAGCCTCCACAGAGCGCATCCGAAATGGAAACCCGCCCCCTTGGGCTCCTGGAAAAAATGTGCCGGGACAGAAAGCTGTTGCTGGACCTCACCTTCCCCTGGCAAACACTTCAACAACCCTAATACTGAAGCTTTGTGCTTTCAGATATTGAATGGTCCTTAAAGCTCTGTTGCGCCTCACAGAGCCCAGCTCCCAGAGTGAAACGTCCAGCCTCTGCTCTCACAGCGAAGGTGCCAGGACAGAAAGCTGGTGCTGGGCATCACCTTCCCTGTGATAGGTGCTTTGCTTAAAGCCTATTGCCTGGTCACAGCAGATGAGGAGAAGGCTGAGCTACTCAACAGCTTTTTTTGCCTCTGTCTTCACACACCTTTTCCCACAGCTCTCACAATGCTGGGTGGCAAAGTCCCTCCCCCTGTAAGAGAAGATCAGGTTTGAGACCATGTGAGGAACCTGAACATGTCTGAGCCTATGGGACCCGACAAGATACATGCCAGGGTCCACAGGGAATTGGCTGATGTAGTTGTCAAGCGACTCTGTGCGCTATTTGAAAAGTCCTGGCAGTCAGGTCAAGTCCGTTGTGGCTGGGAAAAGGAAAGCTGGCACCCCTGTTTAAAAGGGTTGAAATGGGGACCCTGGGAACAGCTGCCCTGCCAGCCTCACCTCTGTGCCTGGGAAGATCATGGAACACATCCTCCTAGAAGCTACGCTAAGGCACATGGGGGACAGGGAGGTGATTCAAGACAGCCAGCACCACCGAGGGCAAGTCTTGCCTGACCAAATTAGTGGCCCTCTATGACAGAGTGACTACATCAGAGGACAAGGGAAGAGCTATGGATATCATCTATCTGGACTTCTCTAAGGCCTTTGGCACAGAATAGCCTCCTCTCTAAATTGGAGAGGTACAGATTTGATGGACGGACTATTTGGTGGATAAGGAATTAGTTGGATGGACATGGACTCCAGGGGGTAGTTGTCAACCAGCTCGATGTCCAGATGGAAATCAGTGTTGAGTAGTCGTATCCCTCAGGGGTTCTGTATTGGAGCCAGCACTGCTTAATATCTCTATCAGTGACAGTGGGATCACTTGCACTCTCGGGACATTTGCAGATGGCACCAAGCTGAGTGGTGTGGCTGACACTCCCATGGGACAGGATGCCATCCAGAAGGACCTGGACAAGCTCGCTTGGAAACCTCATGAGGTTCAACAAGGCCAAGTGCAAGGTGCTGCATTTAGGTCAGGACACTCCCCCTGGTGGTGCCAGAACGTAGGAATACTAGTGGGGAATCTGATGCTCAGTTGAGTGGATGGCCTCATGCAGAGAGTTATGCTCAGCACCTCAATGTCCACCTGGAGAGCGGTGACGAGTGGTGTCCCTGAGGGGTCGGTGTTGGGACCGATCCTGTTCAACATCTTTGCCAGTGACATGGACAGCGGGACCGAGCACCCTCAGCAAGTTTGCTGATGACACTGAGCTGTGTGGTGCTGTGACATGCTGGAGGGAAGGGATGGGATCAAAAGGGACGTGGACGGGCTGGAGGTGTGGGACCTCTCCAGGCTGAACTTAAGAGGTTCAACAAGGCCAAGTGCATGGTCCTGCCCCTGGGTCAGGGCAGTCCCGGGCACAGCTACAGGTTGGGTGGAGAAGAGGTTCAGAGCAGCCTGAGAAGGACTTGGGGGTGTTGGGTGAGGAGAAGCTCCCCATGACCTGGCTTCAGTGTGTGCTTGAGCCCAGAACCCCCCCGTGTGCTGGGTGCACCCCCAGAGCGTGAGCAGCAGCTCAGGGAGGGGATCCTGCCCCTCTGC